TCATCCCCCAGGACAATTATCCCCCGGAAAATTACCCCCGGAGAATTACCCCACGAGGACAACTACCTCCCGATGACAATTACCCCCTAGGACAATTACCCCCCGAGGACAATTACCCCCCCCCCCCCCCTCGATGACAATTACCTCCGAGGACAATTATCCCCCCCCCCCCAGGACAATCAGGATTCAATAGCAAAAGACGATCTGACACATTGAGAGATGGCTACGAGCCCATTAGATCCCCTGCATGAACCCATATTCTTCAAATACTATAGCACGTTATCTTCCTCATTACTACACATTTCCCTTTTATTATAATTTATGCAACGCCAGTGCGGTTGCTAATTTCTACGAAGGATGTAAGTTTTAGGTAATTGTACAGCGCTTTTCAAAATGCATAGATATACATTTCTCTAGGGCAGCGTTATTTCAATTTTTTGTTAGTCACGGGACCCTCTTAAGAAATGAAAAGTTTCTCCCAAATCCCAAAGTCTTTACAGGGTATTAATTTTGCATGACTCTGGCTCTCGTCAAGTGCTACGCACACACGTATGGGCACATTTAAGAATAAAAAGGAGAAGACATTTTCAAACTGGTAAAAAATTAGTTTGTAATCCACACACTAGAAACTATTTAAAGTACTGTATGCGGGCACCTTACCGCCGAATGTACATAAATAAAAAGTGATATATTCGGTCATGACCTTGATACACGAATATGAGGATATCCGGGCCTTTCGCTGCCCTTATTAATAATAATATTTATTTTGTATATAGCGCTTAATACAAATGTCTCTAAGCGCTTTACAAATATACTATTACCCCGGCCATTGGATTCAGTGCTTGCCCGCACACACTGTGTGCACAATCTCCACTCCCTGGGGAGCATTCCAGTCGGGCGTTACTTGACGCTCACAAGCTGTTTGACCAACAATGACGGCCACATCCTACCGGGTACCCATTTGACACCTGGGTGGAGAGTAGCAAGTGCAGGTTAATATCTTGCCAAAGGATATTAGTGCCGTGTCGGGATTCGAATCCTCGACCTTCGCATCTCCAGTCAAGCGTCTTAAACAACTCGACCACGACACTCCTTGCTGTCAAAATATTGTCAGTGAGCGAGGAAGGAAGACACTTTAGGGTCTTCAAATTTTTATTTTCTCATGTAATTACGTATTTTAACCGTTTCTGGTATTTGACTTTTTTACAACATCAACGTTTTCCAAATCATTCTCTTGCGGCATCCCGGTTGAAAAACGCTGTGCTGGAGTTACAAAATCAAATGAGATGAATTACCAGAGAACGGATATTTATTTTCTTTTGACATGGCACCGTACATATAACTTGAGAGCAATTTCTATTTCAAAATAATTTAACGTACACTAAAACATATTATACTTCAGCATGAGAACATAAATAAATAGATAACGTGAAGAAAACCTTAATTATGGATCATGGCATGGATGAGCAGGCACGTAGCCACGGGGGGCACGGGGGGGGGGCATGTGCACCCCAAACAATTCCAAGATCGGTTGAACTTTTTTAGACCCCTCCCCAGGACGTCGATCGATTACATGTATGTGCCCCCCCCCCCCAACATCAAACTCTAGCTACGCCCCTGTGGATGAGGGCCCATACCCTTACAAAAAAAATCTATGATATTCCTATGGTACGGCTCTATGGTGAATGGTATTTCTATGATATATTATATGGTAGAATATATTTCTATGGTATACCACACAATTGCTGAATGGTGGAGTTCTATGGTCAGTGGTATATCATTGATGCCGTCCTATGGTGTATGGTATTTCTATGATATATTATATGGTAGACTATATTTCTATGGTATTTCTGTTGAATGGTATCCCTATGGTGGAGGATATTTCAGTGGTAGCTCTATGGTGGATGATGACTTTATGGTATATCTATGGTGGTTATGTGACTCTATGGTGGCTCTAAAGTGAATGGTAGATCTATGGTAGCTCTATGGTGGCTGTATGGTGTATGGTATTTCTACGGTATGTTATATGGTAGAATATATTTCTATGGTATTTCTGTTGAATGGTATCCCTATGGTGGAGGATATTTCAGTGGTAGCTCTATGGTGGATGATGACTTTATGGTACATCTATGGTGGTTATGTGACTCTATGGTGGCTCTTAAGTGAATGGTAGATCTATGGTAGCTCTATGGTGGCTGTATGGTGTATGGTATTTCTACGGTATGTTATATGGTAGAATATATTTCTATGGTATTTCTGTTGAATGGTATCCCTATGGTGGAGGATATTTCAGTGGTAGCTCTATGGTGGATGATGACTTTATGGTATATCTATGGTGGTTATGTGACTCTATGGTGGCTCTAAAGTGAATGGTAGATCTATGATAGCTCTATGGTGGCTGTATGGTGTATGGTATTTCTACGGTATGTTATATGGTAGAATATATTTCTATGGTATTTCTGTTGAATGGTATCCCTATGGTGGAGGATATTTCAGTGGTAGCTCTATGGTGGATGATGACTTTATGGTATATCTATGGTGGTTATGTGACTCTATGGTGGCTCTAAAGTGAATGGTAGATCTATGGTAGCTCTATGGTGGCTGTATGGTGTATGGTATTTCTACAGTATGTTATATGGTAGACTATATTTCTATGGTATTTCTGTTGAATGGTATCCCTATGGTGGAGGATATTTCAGTGGTAGCTCTATGGTGGATGATGACTTTATGGTATATCTATGGTGGTTATGTGACTCTATGGTGGCTCTAAAGTGAATGGTAGATCTATGGTAGCTCTATGGTGGCTGTATGGTGTATGGTATTTCTACGGTATGTTATATGGTAGAATATATTTCTATGGTATTTCTGTTGAATGGTATCCCTATGGTGGAGGGTATTTCAGTGGTAGCTCTATGGTGGATGATGACTTTATGGTATATTAATGGTGGTAAGTAACTCTATGGTGCGACAAAGTCCGGCCCTAGAATTGTAAAAAAAAGGGGTGTATTTGACTTTTCACCCGGAGATTTCTTTAAAAAGTGGGGTTTTTTTTTTTCTTTCTCTCATCTCTTTGGACTCATGAGAAATTATTCCGAATTTAGGGGGATACATTGAGCATTTTTCCTGATTTAGGGGGGTCTCCAAGGCAGGAAAAGCCCGCGAAGAGCCCGCGAAAGGGGGGTTCGAAGATGTTGGCAGTCCACAGATAGGGGGTGCTTTCAAAAAGAGGGAACGAGCATATGCGTACCCTAAATAACACTGAGTGGGGGGGCCGGGGTATGGTGTATGGTATTTCTACGGTATGATATATGGTAGAGTATATTATATGGTATTTCCGTTGAATGGTATATCCCTGTGGTGTAAGATATTTTAGCAGTAGCTCTATGGTGGATGATGACTTTATGATATATTACTAATGGTTAGTGACTCCATGGTGGCTCTAACGTGGCACTTTTTACATAAAAAGAGCCCCTTTACTTTAAAAAGTGCCCCTATTATTTTTTTGAAAGTGCCCCTTTTCCTTCGATAAGTTCCGGTTTTCCTTTGCAATAAGTGTCCATTTTCCATTCTCATAAGTGCCCTTTTTCCATCTCTAGTAAGTGCCCCTTTTCAGATACGAGAAGTGCCCCTTTTCACTTTTGATAAGTGCCCCATTCACCTCTGATAATTTCCCTATTCAAATCTTAGAGGGGCCTTTCCCCTTTTAATAACTACCCCTTGTTTAACTCGGATAAGCGTACCTTATATTTTCACATGTGACCCCTTTCCTTTCTAACAAGTGCCCCCCATTTAAAAGAGAGCCCCTTCCCTTTATCATAAATGCCCCCTTTTCATCTATGAAAACAGTTACTTTTCATTCTTAAGTCCCTCTTCATTCTCATAGTCCCGTTCCATCTCTAGTAAATGACCCTATTAAATTCTGAGAGGTACTCGTTTTATTTTGACAAGTGTCCCTTTTCTTCCTGTTAAGTGCTCTTTTCATCTTCAATAACTGCCCCTTTTAAAAGAGAGCCCCTTCCCTTTATCATAAATGCCCCCTTCCCTTCCTAATAAATGCTCTTTTTCCTTCTTTTAAGTGCCCCATCCCCTTCCCATAATTACCCCCTTTTCATCTCTCATAAGTGCCCCGTTTATCTTGACATGTGCCTCTTTTCTTTTTAATAATAGCCTGCACTTCCCCCTTCTCATAAATCCCCCCTTCCCCTCGTATTAAATGCCCCTATTAAAAACTGATCGGTGCCCCTTTTCGTACAACAAATGAACATTTCCCCTTATTATTAGTGCCCCTTTTTCATTCTCATAAGTGCCCCTTTTCTTTTCACCTCAGATAATTACCCTTTAACAATGATAAGTGCCCCATTTTCACCTTCTGATAATTACCCGTTGTAATTTGACATGTGCTCCTTTTTTTCTAATAAGTGTCACCCTTTTCGATAAGTGTCCCCTTTTCCTCTCATCACGTGCCCCTAATTTCCAGCTACTAAGAGCAATATCACCCAAAGCACACTCGCATTTCTAGATGTTGTAATTATGGTACTTATCAAAGGTCTTTTCAGTCTTCTGTTATGATAATGTAATAAACCCATCAGGATTGAGTTTTTCTTCTTTATAATTGATGTAATTTTTCGCACTGCGACCTCACAAATCTTATTTATAAAGATAAAAAAAATATTGAAATCATCCCTGATAATGTAATCACAATATAGGGGGTATATACAAATGTTTTTATTTTAAATATATATTTTCGCTTTGAGATTTCCCTTTGTAGGTGCCCTATTTATTTTCTCCAGAAAATGCCCTTTTTGTTGGTGCCCCCCGCACCCCCCCCCCCACTTTGGAAGTCGCTCCACTGCCTCTGTTTGCACTCAATTAGTCTCAATCAATTAAAGAAATCATTAAATAAAAAATTCTAAACCAAATTGTAACAAGTAATGTATATCAGCAGAAAGTAGAAAATAAGGGCTGTTTGCTGCCACCTTGTGCCCAAGATTTGAATAACTCTTCTAGCTAGCCGTTGGTCTCTAAGTTTTACTCACTGAAAATGCTTCGCAAAACTCCAAAATATGTGAGGAAGAGGAAGGTGTTCAAAGGAGATCAATACCAGATATTACAGAAGAGTAACATGAATGCTGGAGAGGTGCCAGAAGAACTAACAGCTAATTCAGAGATCGAGGAAGCTTTCCCTGAATAATGTTTGGACAGCCCTATTTTTGGCCCTGGTCCCACATGTGAAGATCCGCGTCATTAGTGGCCCACAACTTGCAGCTGCTTTGCAAAAGGCTCACGTGTGTCTGGGAGGTATGTACTTACTATCAAACAATATTTTTAGTTTGCAAACTGTTACTTTAGATTGTATTGCATGCTCAAGGGGTGAATGGCTCAAAAAGCCAAATCAAATGATTAAGAATAGATCTAGATCTAGAGTAAAGGAGGGGGTAATCGACCATCACCAGTTTTCGGCCGATTCGTTAGATGCATGGTAAAATCCCTTTAAAATCCATCGCATAACAGCATATCATATATCCCACACATACCATACCATGCCAGAGTCACTGAAGAACCACATTTGCAATGGAAAATATATCCTAAAATATCACATTTTAGCGATGTAATCGGCGGTCCCGCTCCCCGAATCTGAAAAATTAAGTATCTTACGCGTGTAAGGAATATGGGTACCATAAAATGAGCTTTATTTCAAGTATTTTAAAGATTTAGAGTCCGATTTTGTGTGAGTCGCAAGCTCAAAAGTATCTCATCGCATGTATTTAATCAATGCAGCCGGATACCGCAGCGCGCACACGATATCTCTGTCTAATTCAAATTCCAATTTCTGATCACCGCAGAGGTAGTTTTCGGCACGGGAAGCTCCGGCTTGGGATACCTGCTCCGGCCTCTAGTGCTATAGATCAGTGGGGAAACGCATTGCGCGCTTGCTTGCTTCCTATTGACTTTGTACATGCGGCCGAAAACTGCCTCGCTAGGCCGAAAACTACCTCCGAAACAGTGAAAATGGAAATGAATGTTGTCATGGCAATTCATGATTTTTTTTCTGGGATTCTTTCTTTGTTTAAATAATAATAGTATTTGCTTCATGATTTGAACAAGAAATGATAATAAATAGGAAGTAAAGAGTCCAAAAAATAGGATTTTGTCTTAAGTGGCCAAAAAAAACCTCCTTTACTCTATGGTGAATCGAAGTGGGGGCATCGGAATTGTCGTGAAATCTGTGAAAATGTGTATTTGTGTAATATACTACATGTACATAACTAGCACTTTGTTATTATTTGGGGATTGTGCTTTTCAAAATATTTTCCCTGTTCCATAAAGTGTTTTGGATATCTTTTACAGGGCATCTCATTCCTCTGGAGAATTTGTCAAAGAGGAATGGGTTGAACTGCGCCATGGTCCTTGGTTGCTCCATTTGCAAGAAGGAGAGGACATTCTCTTCATCAGAAAATGAATGCGAAGGACGTGGAAAGTCTGCAGAAATAAACCGCAGAGCTACTCTGGCAACAACGGAGGTTGGTTTGGCACGGGATAGCTTGTGCGACTTGCTGACCATCCTCGGAACAGCCCCACTAGTCGAAGCCCCTAGCTACAACAGGCACATAGCCACTTTATCTTCCTTATCCCAAGAGGTTAGTCACCAGCCTTGTGTTTTCTTCATTACATTATCTTAGCTGTACGTACATTTAATCCAAACATATTTTTATTTCTTAGTTATGGTCGATAGACAGTATAATACATGTACATCAATATCCCTTCTTGTCAAATCAAGGGATGAAAATTAATCAAATCTAAATATTTGGAATAGGGTCTAATAAGTAAGGGGCCTGAGGGAACTTGAAATTTACTTGTTATTTATTACAAACTCTTTTTTTTTTGCAGACCAGTAAGGATCAGAAGAAAAAGGTGGCAGCATGCCTACGTCAAAGGGCCATGGACAAGGATCTGACCATCAGGGAAAATGAGTGGACGTGGCAGTGCCCTACGATGAAACATGGCATAGACGAGGTTACACATCGAATCATGGGGTGGGGGTAGTGATACCGATCGATACAGGGGAGATTTTTTGACACAGAGGGTCTATCAAAATCATGTAAACAGTTTGAGTATAGAAAGGGTTGGGTCTTCAGTGTTCTCAGCCAGAGGGACCTTGATCGCCTTCAGAGACTCCAAAACTGAGCAGCAAGGCTTGTCTTTTCTGCTCCTCTTCGAACTCACATACAACCTCTTTGACTTAAACTTCATTGTACATGCTTATACAATGTTTTAGAACATTTCTGTGCTGCAACTCAGTGCCTTAGTTTTTATTGTACATGTTTATATATTTTTAACTTGCCTTTCATTTTAGTCATGTTTACACACACACTATATATGACATTTTAGTTATTTAGAGGAACTAGGGTGATATATATGTGGGTATTTATTACACCTTAGTAGAATAAGTCCAAGTAATATGTGTTGCAATTATGAACTTGCCTTTCATTTTAGTTTGTAGTGTGCATGTTTATGTGATATATTTTTTACTTGCCTTTTATTTTAGTTTTTAGCATATGTACATGCATACAACTTTTGATATAAACCAAATACATCCTGCCGCTTTCATTCAATTCATTTTTTTAATAAGCGTCATGTGTGTATTGTAAGTTAACATTTAAGTTTAGATTTCTCAAAAATTCAATATATTATAGTCACCATTCTGTGTACTATAGAACGCACTACATCCACCATTCTGCTAACCATATATCAAGATCCAAACTACCATTCTGAATGTACCATTTCAAAATGCTACAATTAAGCGGAACATTTTGTTGCATATTTTGAATGGTAGTGAATGGTAGATGAATGGTGGCTCTATGGTAGATGAATGGTGGCTCTATGGTAGATGAATGGTGGCTCTATGGTAGATGAATGGTGGCTCTATGGTAGATAAATGGTGGCTCTATGGTAGATGAATGGTGACTCTATGGTAGATGAATGGTGGCTCTATGGTAGATGAATGGTGGCTCTATGGTAGATGAATGGTGGCTCTATGGTAGATGAATGGTGGCTCTATGGTAGATCAGTGGTGACTCTATGGTAGATGAATGGTGGCTCTATGGTAGATGAATGGTGGCTCTATGGTAGATGAATGGTGGCTCTATGGTAGATGAATGGTGGCTCTATGGTAGATGAATGGTAGCTCTATGGTAGATGAATGGTGGCTCTATGGTAGATGAATGGTGGCTCTATGGTAGATGAATGGTGGCTCTATGGTAGATGAATGGTGGCTCTATGGTAGATGAATGGTGGCTCTATGGTAGATGAATGATGGCTCTATGGTAGATGAATGGTGGCTCTATGGTAGATGAATGGTGGCTCTATGGTAGATGAATGGTGGCTCTATGGTAGATGAATGATGGCTCTATGGTAGATGAATGGTGGCTCTATGGTAGATGAATGGTGGCTCTGTGGTAGATGAATGGTGGTTCTATGGTAGATGAATGGTGGCTCTATGGTAGATGAATGATGGCTCTATGGTAGATGAATGATGACTCTATGGTGGCTCTATGGTATATGAATGGTGGCTCTATGGTAGAATATGTAGGTGTGGCCTAATTTGAATAAATGAATAAATTTGTCCCAATTATTTTAATTAGTTCTATGGTAAATGAATGGTAGATCTATGGTAGATTTGCTATGGTGTTTGTGTGGTAATCTATGGTAGATTTGCTATGGTGTTTGTATGGTGTACCATAGAGATTTTTTTTGTAAGGGTATACAAAGACAAATGCACGATCAGCTGATTAAAAAAGTTACAGAGGATGCATAAAGGGAATCTTACATCCCAATTTCTTTGTTGTGCAATTGATGGTGAGAGAGGCTGTAACGCGTACTCATCTGCGCGCAATGGATTGTTCAATTTCTAAGAAATGTAATTTCTGTTCTTTACTCGGTATCAAAACTACAGGGAAATTGGTCAACCTCCACTATCCCTGTAAATAGCAATTTTAAGAGAAGCTTGCGTTATACGTCACAGTGTTATAACTTCCTCGGGGTTGATTGTCATTGTCCTCGGGGGGGGGGGGGGGGAATTGTCCTCGAAGGGGGGAGGGGTAGTTGTCCTCGGGGGGGAATAATAATATTAATAATAATAATGTTTTATTTACCCAGGGTGGCCACTTCAGTTATGAAACTGCTCTTCCAGCGGGCCCTGCATAACATAATATGTTATTACTACCCTTCTCCAATCTAATATGCTGAGCGCCTAGCTAGAAGGCAAAAGGTCCCATTGTTATAAGTCTTTGGTATGACTCGGCCGCGGTTCGAACCCACGACCTCCCGTTCATGAGGCGGGCGCTCTAACTACTCAGCCACCATGCCCAATAGTGTCCATGGGGGTAATTGTCCTCGGGGGGGGGGGGGGGAGGTAATTTTCCTCGGGGGTAGTTGTCCTCGGGGGGTAATTGTCCTCGGGGGTAGTTGTCCTTAGGGGGTAATTGTCCTCGGGGGGTAATTGTCCCCGGGGGGGGGGGGGGTAGTTGTCCTCGGGGGGTAATTCTCCGGGGGGAAATTTCCGGGGGGTTATTGTCCTACGGGGGTAGTTTTCCAGGGGGTAATTTTCCGGGGGATAATTGTCCTGATACGCATTTGATGTGTGAATAAGTTCAATAAATTTCTCCCGTTAAAAGAAACGGTTCACGATACAATCACATAGGCAAATAGCACCAATTAATCTTTAGTAGGACGTTTGACCTATCCTTTCTTTCTCATCAACTTTTCTGTAGTTCTGGGCGCAGTGGGCGGAGGTCGGATTTAGGTAAAGAGTTGCTGTCATTGGTACATGTAGAAGACTTTTCTCCAGGACAATACGTGGACTTGTGCCATGCTCTAGATGTCTCCTATGCACAAAGTCAAATGATTTTAAGAGCAAACCTCATGGATTTGTCCAATTCGCTGTTTGAAGTCATCTGCATTTGGAGAGCGAATCAGACGGGTGGCATTAAGAGACTTCTAGCTGAAAAACTCAGGAGTGTTCATTTAGATGCATTGGCAACAAAACTAGTAAAAGGCGAGTGCTCTGTGCAAATCATTAAGCGCGGCTGTCTGTCCTTTGTGTATATGTGTAGACCTACGTGACGCGCGGGGGGGGGGGGGGGTAATGTTTCCCTCCCCTCCAATCCCTTCTTTGCGTATGTAGGCCTACACGAAGGCCTACATGAAGATTGTTAATTTTACAAATTTGATTTTGACATGGCATATATTTACATCATATTCTATTGTAATTACCTTCATTCGTTTTCACTGAATTTGTCTTTAGTAGAACTTTAAAAAGACGCAAATAATGTTTCTACTTTTTCTTTCGAATTTCTGTAAAACAGGTGTCTAAACTGTCATTTAGCTAATATGCCTATTCAGAAATACTATAACTCCTTCTTATCTTCTCCTCATTGTTGAAATATGGCTTCCTAAGCTGTAAACATCACTGTTTCATAAGGTGAGCCAAGCAGCGTGTAACCTTTTATAAAAATCTCCACGATTTATAAGGTTTATGAAGAATTTGCTCCGTCTTCTTCGAACTAAAAGTTACGAGCTGTTTATTTGTATTTTTATTTTGTATCATATTTTCTGTTACTGTTGATCTACATGACAATGTTAAATAACATATTTATTTGTCTCATTTTGACTTATAGGTGGATACTCGTCACAAGACACCCCAACTCAGTGTGAGTATAAATGATCAAGTCCCGCAAATAGTTACAGTGTGAAATGCTGTTGTATTCTTGAAGCAATATGGAACTAAGAGATTTAATGATAGCAATCATACTGGAATAAATTTAGATATCAAGTCGAATATTAACCCATTGACCACTGAATTCTCTTATCCCCATAGGCTTAATGCAGGGAACACCAGGTTCCAGTAGGAAATGGGTTAAAGGGCCAGGAGTGAGGTCAACATTTCCCCAAACATCAAAGTATACATGTGTGATACTATCTATGTTGACAATTAACACATCTAATGTTTCCAAATTTGTTCATGAAATTGAGATTGTTCAAAAACCTGTATAACATTGGTTGAAATACTTGGGGGAAGGTGTAAATAGCTTGATAGCTAAGCCTACAGTAAGAAAAGAGACATGATCGACATGCTTAAAGACTATCTGCATTAGTTTGGCCAGGAGAGGTTATACCTACATGCGTGGTCACTGACAGGTGGTTATCTCATCAAATCAGCTATTAATTACCATAAGAAAAGGGGGATCATCAGGGACTAACGGTCACCGCTAAGGCATTGTTTGATATATAGAGGGCGCAAGTAGCTATAAGTAGTGCAGTTCCCCTTTAATATGTCTCTGGTCGTCATATGTAGAGTGTATGCATGTGTGCATGTGCATACATGTCTTTCATAGGTGTCGGAATATGTATAGCCTACCATTGTTAAGTTGAAATGTATGGGCTTAAATTAAAAGACTCTCTTGATTTGACTTGACTTGACTTGATTTGACCTGTTTATTCTTCACATAATTCAGCTTCAGTTACAGATGAGGTGCACCCTGTAAACAAACTCACCCAAGAAGAGGATTTCAGGTGCGGTAAAGATTTCTTTACATTCTATTGCACGGTAATGTGTAAAATCAAGGCTGGTCCACTCGACTTTAAGGGACTTTCAAAAAATTTACACAAATGTAGTACTGCTTCGAAACAAGATGGAATTAAGGAAGGCGAAACATGAACGTAAGGTGATCCTCTGCCTATTTTAAATGATAATTGAAACTTTAAATGATGTACTTCATATCATTTGTTTCTTCCTGAAAATCGTTTTTTTTTCCTTCTGATGTTCGATAATTCTAGATATTCAACTAGACCAATGGCCAAAGACATCAAATATTTAAGCCATGGACGGCCCTACCACAAACTAACCAAAATGATATATGTTGCGTTGATGTAAAAATGAGTCATAGACTTTGGTATCTCACCGCTCCAAAATGATTGACATAAATATTTATTAGGCCTATATGAAAATAATTTAAAGCAAAATGTCACTCCGTTTAAATAGATGCACTTGATCTATTTAATATGAACTACTGTGATGTCATAATACTGGCCACGTTGCCAAGGTTGCTGGTTCCAAACGATTTTGGACTTAACAATGGTGTGGTGATCACAATAGCCCCAAACACTGGATTTGCCCTGCTCCAGCTCATTGATTGAATTATTTTGCATCGAACCTCATGCAAAGGCTTTGTTGTTTACAACCAGTGAACTGGACGATAAGCGAATATGACGTTATCACTTCGGTACTTCATTTGATGTGTGAATAATTTCAATAAATTTCTCCTGTTAAAAGAAACGGTTCACGATACAATCATATAAGCAAATAGCACCAATTAATCTTATTTTTCTCAGTAGGACGTGTGACCTATCCTTTCTTTCTCATCAACTTTTCTGTAGGGCTGGGCGGAGGTCGGATCTAGATAAAGAGTTGCTGTCATTGGTAGAAGACATTTATCCAGCACACTACGTGGACTTGTGCAATGCTCTAGAGTTCTCCTATTCACAAAGTCAAGCGATTTTAACACAAAACCTTATGGTTGTGTCCAATTCGCTGTTTGAAGTCATCCGCCGATGG